TTCATATGGCCTCTTTCCAGTATGAATTTTCTGATGTCGATTAAGTTCTGAACCACGAAAAAAGGTTTTCCCACATTCCTTGCATTCATAGTCTCTCTCACCAGTATGAATTTTCTGATGTCGATTAAACTCTGAGCCATGAAGAAAGGTCTTTCCACAATCCTTACATTCATAGGATTTCCTCTCATTATGAATTTTCTCATGTTGAGCAAGATACGAAGGCCAAGTAAAAGTCTTCCCACACTGCTTACATTCATAAGGTTTCCTGCCAGTATGAATCCGCTGATGTCGAGCAAGGTGTGAGCTCCAAATATAGGCTTTCCCACATTTCTCACATTCAAAAGGTTTCCTACCAACGTGAACATTCTGATGTTGAGCAAGATTTGAACCACGAATAAAGGCTTTTCCACATTCCTTGCACTCATGAGATTTCTCACCTGTATGAATTCTCTGATGCTGAGTTAGGTGTGATCCACGAGTAAAAGCTTTCCCACACTCCTGACATTCATAAGGTTTTTCACCAGTGTGAATTCTCTGATGTTTAATAAGATGTGATCGCTGACTAAAGGCCTTTCTACATTCATTACATTCATAGGGTTTTTCACCAGTATGAATTCTCTGATGTCGAGTAAGATCTGAGCCACAACTAAAGGCCTTCCCACATTCCTTACATTCATAAGATTTCTCACCAGTATGAATTCGCTTATGGACACTAAGTTGTGAATGAAATCTAAAGGCTTTCCCACATTCCTTACATTTAAAAGGTTTCTCACCAGTGTGAATTCTCTTATGACCAGTAAGACTTGAACGTAAACTAAAAGACTTCCCACATTCTTTACATTCATATGTTTTCTTAACAGTGTGAACTGTCTGATGTTGAGTAACTTCTGAATCAGGAAGAAAGGTATTCCCACATTCTTTATCTTCACAGAATTTCTCACTTGTGTGAATTAACTGATGTTGAGTATGATCTGAGCCAGAAATAAAGGCTTTCCCCAATTCTTTAAATTCATTCAGTTTGTCTCCTGTGTTAAGTCTCTGGTGTAGATTAAAGGCTGTGTGCTGGTTAAAAGTGGGCCTTTTTTCACAAGTGAGTATCACCTGCTTGAAACATTCCTCTTGATTATCTTGTAGTGTTTGAAACTGAACGTTGCCTTCCCAATCACCTCTAAAACATAAACATTCAAGGCTGTGGTTTTTACAGATTTTCATTATTTCCAATTGGGCTATTTCTCTCTCACAAATGCCATTTTTTGGTAATAACTTCTTGGTCTGACACCTGGACTGCATGTCTGAAAAATGAGAAGGTAAAAACATCATACTGTTTTATGTACAAAAAGCAATAAAACTTCTAAAATAGATATAGAAAATATTGAAATAAAGCATATGAGAAGTGAATGGCTTAAAAAATTCTCAAATATGAGCAATGTGAAAAAAAGGGCAAGAAATAAGTAGAAATTTAAAAGAAATAATGAAAGTTGAGTGAAGTGATGAGAAGTATATTTTATTTTGATCATATTCATCTGAGGAGCTCAATAAAAAATGATTATCCAGGTATCACCTCAATAACAGAATAGTAAGTCATAAAATATCTACAAGTTTGCAAGTACTATAGTGAATGTCTTATATAATTCAGAGCTTAAAAATAGGAATGCTGGGAAATGGCAGAGTATCAGTCCAATATGAGGGAAGCAATCTGATCCAGAGTTACCAAACTAGGATCTCAATACCAGGATATGCTGCATTTAGGTTAAAGGAGATAATTATGGGTGATAGTTCAGACAGAAAAATAGTTTGAAGGCCAGGTACAGTGATTCACACCTGTAACCCCAGCACTTGGGAAGGCTGAGGCAGATTGCTTGAGCCTAGAAGTTCGAGACCAACCTAGGCAACATGGCAAAACCCCATCTCTATAAAAAAGCAGCCAAGAATGGTGGTGCATGCCTGCGGTCCTAGCTACCTGGAAGGCTGAGGTGGCAGGATCACCTGAACCTAGGAGGTCAAGGTTGCAGGGAGCCATCATCACACAACTGCACTCGAGCATGGGTGACAGAGTGAAACCCTGTCTTAACAACAACAAAAAAATAGTTTGAGAATTTTTTTCAAGGGGGAAGGAGTCAGGCAAAAGCTGAGAATAAGTAAGACTCTTCTGTGACTCATTTTTAAAAATATATATTTAGGATCAACTACTATTGTTATCAGTTTTTCATGGGGACAGAGCAAGTACTCTAGCAGTGACTCAATGAATTGAAAGGCAGTTTAGTTACAAAGTATGAGCAGTAATGTACTGCAATGGAAAGAGGACAAACTGCAGTTTCAGACTCCAGTTCTCTTTACTAAAACTACTTTTTAGGTGATTGGAAAATTACTGAGCTTGACTGAGCTCTTAATTTTTCATATCATAAAAAGGAATAAAACATCACTTTGCAGAGGTTTGTTGCAAGGATTGGGAATAATATACTATTTCTATTAAGTGCCTGACACAGGATAAGTGTTGAATAATCAGTAGATGATGATGATGATTAGAGAGGAAAAGCTGGGGAATATGGGGAATTAGACAAGTCAGAGTTTGTCTTTTTTTTTTTTTTTGAGATGGAGCCTCACTCTGTCACCCAGGTTGGAGTGCAGTGGCGCAATCTCAGCTCACTGCAACCTCCGCCTCCTGGGTTCAAGCGATTCTCCTGCCTCAGCCTCCCAGGTAGCTGGGATTACAGGTGCCCACCACCATGCCCAGCTAATTTTTGTATTTTTAGTAGGGATGGGGTTTCGCCATGTTGTCCAGGCTGGTTTTGAACTCCCGACCTCAGGTGATTCGGCCGCCTCAACCTTCTGAAATTCTGTGATTACAGGCATGAGCCACTGCGCCTGGCCGGGCTTGTCTTTTATGACACTGTGTTCTTCTGGTTGTACTTCATGTGCCCTAACCTTTCTTCTGCCACTTCCTCCTCACTGTGACCAGAAACTGTTATCACCCGTTATTCTAATTTTCAGCTAAGCAGTCTATTAGGTCTTCTCTTAATGTTCCCTGTATGCAGAAATGTATGGCCATGCTCTAGTCACAGAAGAGAACAAAAAGTTTCTTAAGAGATAATATATTCTTTGTTAATCCTTTTAAACCTAAAATGAGCAAATCCATAAATGTTGGTTGAAAGAATGAACTAATAAGAATGAACTAACAAATGCAGGCAATGTACAATCAAGGAGAAGCTAGGAAAAATGAGAAAAATTCAAAAGGGATGGGTAAAATAAAAAAATGAGGTCAAAAATGTTTGGTTTGGTTTTGTTTTTTACAGAATGAAGAATTTTATGAAAATCTAAGTTTCAAAAAAGGGAGATGGGAAGGAACTTGATCCAAATCATAGATAAAATAAGCACCACTGGAGAAAAGAATGGCACTTACCTTTTTGTTACATGAGTGAAAAATGAGAGCAGAAAAATAGACCAGTGTTTAGAGTGAAGAGAAAGTTCTTTTGGAAAAGGTTTTGTCTCTATCTAGGCCTCAGATCTTTTTTTTTTTTTTTTGAGATGGAGTCTCACTGTACTCCTGCTCAGGCTGGAGTGCAGTCACGTAATCTCGGCTCACTGCGACCTCTGCCCCCCAGGTTCAAGCAATTCTCCTGCTTCAGCCTCCCAAGTAGCTGGGACTACAGGTGTGTGTCAGTACACCGGCTAGTTTCTATATTAGTAGAGATGGGGTTTCACCATGTTGGCCAAGCCGGTCTCAAACTCCTGATCTCAGGTGGTCTGCCTGTCTCAGCCTCCCAAAGTGCTGCAATTACAGGAGTGAGCCACGGCACCCAGCCAGTTTTTGTTTTTGTTTTTGTTTTTATCCCGAGACGGAGTCTCACTCTGTTGACCAAACTGGAGTGCAGTGGCATGATCTCAGCTCACTGCAACCTCTGCCTCCCTGGTTCAACAATTCTCCTGCCTCAGCCTCCCAAGTAGGGGACTACAGGCGTGCATCGCCATGCCCGGCTAATTTTTTGTATTTATTTATTTATTTATTTTTTAGTAGAAATGGGGTTTCACCATGTTGCCCAGGCTGGTCTTAAACTCCTGAGCTCAGGTAACCCACCAAAGTGCTAGGATTACAGGCGTGAGCCACCACACTTGGCCCATTTTTTGATCTTAAGGGGATATTCCAGACCAATATTTTAGAGGTGTTGCTGCCTCACTATGCAGCTGAGCTGTTATCCACAACAATGGCCTCCTTGTGCCTGTTCAGCCCTCACTCACCTGGGTAAGGTCCTCTTGTCTCATCCCTCAAAATCTTCCAGGGCTCTTTCCCTTTCTCCAATAAAGAGAACACTTCTGGCTGATAAATGCAAAGACCTGCCCAGAAGATAAGAAACAGCAAAGAACCACATTGTAAAGATTTTAAAATTTGCAACTACTTCTTTGGTACTAAGGAAGAGAAACAATTACAGGCAGGGTAAAAATAAGTTATAAAGGATGGGAAAGATGGAGGTGCCCACTGATGATAACTATTGCCAGATTTACAAAGCACAAACCATTTTCCAGAAAACAAAGGTCAGAAGTTACCTTGGACATTTAAAAGACAATAAAAAAATAATAATAACAATACAGAAAGCGGGAATTTCTTTTTTTTTTTTTTTTTTGAGACGGAGTCTCGCTCTGTCGCCCAGGCTGGAGTGCAGTGGCCGGATCTCACTGCAAGCTCCGCCTCCCGGGTTCACGCCATTCTCCTGCCTCAGCCTCCCGAGTAGCTGGGACTACAGGCGCCCGCCACCTCGCCCGGCTAGTTTTTTGTATTTTTTTAGTAGAGACGGGGTTTCACCGGGTTAGCCAGGATGGTCTCGATCTCCTGACCTCGTGATCCGCCCGTCTCGGCCTCCCAAAGTGCTGGGATTACAGGCTTGAGCCACCGCGCCCGGCCTAGAAAGCGGGAATTTCTAAGGAAAATGCCGAATCTTACCCAGTGAGACCATGTTGCTGTAGTTCTCCAACATCACATCTCTATATAAATCCCTCTGTTCCAGGTCCAGGCACTCCCACTCCTCCTGACAGAAATCTACAGCCACATCCCTGAACATCATCAACTGTTGAAAGAACAAGTCCAGGTATTAATGGTGAACTTTTTAAAAATAACCCCTTTAGATGAAAGGGGAAAGGCTGGAAAGGGGCACTGCAGGGAGTAGGGCACATACTGGGCAAAAAACTGGAGTTGGCTGCCTGTGGTTTCAGGGGAAATGACATGGGAATAAGCGTGACTAAAGGCGAGTGTCTACATGCTCCTTTTTTTTGTTGTTGTTCTTTTTTGAGACAGAGTCTTGCTCTGTCACCCATACTGGAGTGCAGTGGTGCAATCTCGACTCACTGCAACCTCTGCCTCCCAGGTTCAAGTGATTCTTGTGCCCCAGCCACCCTAACAGCTGGGATTACGTGTGTGCACCACCGCGCCCGGCTAATTTTTTGTATTTTTAGTACAGACAGGGTTTCTCAATGTTGGCCAGGCTGGTCTTGAACTCCTGACCTCAAATGATCCACCCACCTCGGCTCCCAAAGTCCTAACAAGCCACTGCACCTGGCTACATGCTCGTAAAAACTCCTGTTGCTCAGTCACCACATCTTTATGATCTTCAAATCACAAATACCAAAACATCAGAATGGCAGCCCAGAATAACAGGCATCATATGAGTTTTTTGTTGATATCACTGGGAGGCTACACCAGCCTGGAAGAACCCCAGATTTATTATGTGAGAAAAGTAGGGGGTTTTATTGGTTGTAAGGAGTCTACTGTGCACAAACAGACTTGTGCATACAGTCTTTGGCCCACGTAACTGTCCTTTGCTTAAGCTACTACTTTCAGTTGAATTTTCTGTTAGTTTAAATTGAGAGAATTCTCAAGAGACGCACTCCCTGACTGAATATTATTTCCTGTGGACCATGTGTAGAATCTCCAGGCTCTTTGCTAAGCAGCTGACACTCAGCAAATTCAGTGTCATAAGAGATTACTGTGAAAGTCATCAAATGAGTTTTTTGTCGACACCACTGAGAGGCTATACCAGCCTGGAATAACTAACCCTGGATTGTTAATTATATTAACCTCTCATTAATTTCCTGGAAAATTCCAGATCTCTTTGAACTCAACCTCCCATCGTATCTGCTAAGGAAAGCATCACAAAGGGCCACATACCTAAATGAATACCAACCAACACCAACTCCCATCTTGATTAAATAAAACATCCCATTCTACAGAGTGAATAAAAGCCTTTATGTAGTATGTCCCCTTTAATTGTTCCATCCCATCTTGTTAAGCTACGGGTTTGAAATGAAAAGTCTTTACTGTTTCCCTTAAGGAAATGTATTTCTCTTCCTCAGTGCTCTGCCAGATTAGGACACAGGAGATACTGAAAGCTCTGGTGGATAGATTTGGTCATACAGGTTGGAGAAAAGAGATATCTAGGGAAAGCATTGGACTGTTTCACAGTCATTACTTATGACGCTCAATAGTGATTCAAGTAAGCAGTTAAGGATAAGCAATAAAAATATTCACATGATTTGATATAAATGGGTTATATTTTAGAGAGAGGCAATTCCAACTCACATGGACCATGACTCAACATTCCAAGTCTACAGTCCTCTGGATTCTTCTCTTGGTGAGGCAGTGTGCTGAGAAAGCAGAGCTAGAAAGAAAAAATCACGAGGTCAGGCCTTTCTCAGAGCTCTTAAATGGACAAGCAGGAATGCCATTTTCTTCCTTGGAGGTAGGTCATAAGGAACCTGAAGAAATCCTGGCCCTATCCAAAACCAGAGAGAGTCAACAAAAGCAGGATGAAGTTTCAGTCTAATCACTTATGCCAAAATCATGACATGGGATCAGGATACTACTAGATAAGTCAATTCTGGCTTGCCCTAAGTTCATATATACATACGTTAACATTTATCCTCAAGCCACCTATGAATGTCAGTTACTTGTCTCATTTAAAAGATCAAGAAATGGGTCACTGGCTCAAATTTACTATTAGGAAATATCATAGGTTTGCTGAATGCAAAGCTCGTTCACTTTGAATACCTCTGGATTTCAGGATTTTTTATTTTACTGAGTGAAGGATGAGCTGGACCTTTCCCTTATAGGAGCAGCCCATGATCTCTGCCTCCTGTGTTTTCATTGACACTGAGCAGCAGGGTGACTTTTTCATGAAAGGAACACAAAGATCGAAGGAAGGCTGGGTTGGGCGAGTAGTCAGTTTTGTGAAGCAAGGACTTTTATTAAAGAAATATATTGAAGCCTCTCTGAGTCTAGCTTTGCACTTAGCAAAAGGGAATCAGATAAGTAAGTTGCAGGACTAACTATCAAGGAATTCACAGTCAGAAAAGTAAAGAGGCAATTACAATACTGTAGGAAATAAAGGGAATCGTGGTTATGAAAGGAGCCAACTAGTTTTTAAGAGAAAGTTTCCTGTAGGAGATGGTACTTCAGCTGACTCTTGAGGGGCTGTTCTGTGTGGGAAATGCGCGAGGGGAGAAGAAAAGAAACACAATACCTTTAAGAGTAAACAACCTTTATCGCACGTAAATGGCAATGCAGATATAATAAGCAAATGATATAATAAGCAAATTGCAATGGGAAGGGGAGAAGGGAAAAAATATATATACTTACATACACATACATATATATACACACACACATACATATACATATATATATATATATTCACCAAACTATGAAGGATTCACCACCAGACTGGAAAGCAACAGCCTGGGCTCCAGGGTCACACATTACACTCACCAGACTATGGAGGATTCATCACCAGACTGGGAAGCAACAGTCTGGGCTCCAGCATTGGCCACCCCTCTGTGCACAGACGAGGAGAGGTCTCATGAAGCTTTGGCGCAGTCTGGGACCTTAGCTCTTTTTGTAACAAGTTGTTTGGCATGAGGCCCAGTCACAAGGGCCCTGATTGACGACCGGGCTCAAGGAACACAAAAAGGTCAAGTCGTTTTTGCGATTGTCTGTTGTTTTTCAATAACTAATGTATAGGAATAGATTGAAATAGAGATTTCTCTGAAACAGCACTGGATGAGTGCCTCAAGGGGCTCACACAACCTGTCCTGGGACTTGGTGACCATTGTGTCCAGTTCAACTGAGTTCAAATTTAATATTTAACTTCTCCTCCACAGGGGCTCACCAGAGAAGACAGGGCAAGGTGAGGGGGATATCCTAGCAGAGGAAACAACATGTGCCAGTCAAGCAAAGATATCTTTGTGCATTCAAGGAACACAGAGTGAGAGGAAAGACCAGTGGCAGATGGGGATGTATAAAGCAGGGATCCTGTTATGAAAAGCTCTAAAAAAATAGGCTATAGCATTTGGACCTTATTTCAGAAGTAATAAGAAAGCATTCTGCATTTTTAAAGTAAGGTTTAAAAATGTTTCTAATTAAAGATAAAACAAAGTTGGTGTGAGAGGGTAAAGACTGATATACACAATCTGAGGAGTTCATAAAAATTCCATGTAAAGCATGTTGTATGAATTGGTCCTAGGAGACAGAGAGCTTCAGCAGCATAGAGAACTTTAAGAACTTTTCCAAGAATGGAGGGCTGGAGAATAAATTGTGAACTAAAATATATTTTGTGTTTGAGAACATGAAGAACTTGAGAGTGACTATTACACAGTTTTAAGGAAAAAACTAGTTCTTTAAAATAATTTAAAAAAATTTTTTAGCCGGGCAGAGTGGCTCACACCTGTAATCCCAGCACTGTGGGAGGCCAAGGCAGGTGGATCACCTGAGGTCGGCAGTTCGAGACCAGCCTGACCAACATGGAGAAACTTTGTCTTACCTAAAAATATAAAATTAGCCGGGCATGGTGGCGCATGCCTATAATCCCAGCTACTCAGGAGGCTGAGGCAGGAGAATCGCTTGAACCTGGGAGGCGGAGGTTGCGGTGAGCCGAGATCACGCCATTGCACTCCAGCCTGGGCAACAAAAGCGAAACCCCGTCTTGAAAAAAAGAAAAAAAATATTTTTAGAGACAGCATCTCAAACTGTCAGTCATGCTGGAGTACAGTGGTGCAATCACAGTTTACTGTTGACGCAAACTGCTAGGCTCAAGTGATCCTTCCACCTCAGCCTGCTGAATAGGGTAGGACTACAGGCATGCACCACTTTGGCTAATTTATTTTATTTTTTGTCAAGACGGGGTCTCGCTATGTTGCCCGGGCTGGTCTCAAACTCCTGGCCTCAAGAAATATTCTCCCACCTTAGCCTCCCAAAGTGCTGGAATTACAGGTGTAGGCCACCATGTCTAGCCAAGAACTAGTTCTAATCCTGATATTCCTCCTCCTGGAAACCATGTAGACAGAAACAAGAAAATCAAAGTAAATCCCAACCACCAGGAAACTAAGAAAATGAACAGACTCCAAATTATTTGGAAATGTGAAAAGAAAATGAAAGAACGGAATGTGTGTGGAAGGCACAGTGATGCTACAAAGCAAAACAAATGAGAAATATCCATTCCCATGGGGAGTAGACCATATCCTCAATGAAAGGGTCTGTGAACAGGAATAATGTCAAAAGGAGGTGGTAAAAGGAGGCCTGCAGATGCCAGGGGGATTCACGGTGGCAAAACACATTGGCTGTATTCTTTTTTTTTTTTTTTTTAAAAAAAAGCTTTATTGAGATGTAATTCACACACCATAAAATTAAGCCATTTTCAGTCAACAATTCAGTGCTTCTTAGTATATTCACAAATATGTGCAACCACAAGTCAATGTTAGAATATTTTCATCACTTCAAAAAGAACCTCTATCCCCTTAGGCTATATCACTCCCTGGCCTCCCCACCGCCACACTTGCCCCATACTTAGCCTTAAATAATGACTAATCTACTTTCTGTCTCTATAGATTTCCCTATTCTGGACTTTCATATGAATGGAATAACATGTGGACTTGTTACTGGCTTCTTTCATTTAGCATAAGGTTTTCAAGGTTTATCCAAATTGTAGCATGAATCAGTACTTCATTCCTTGCTATGTCTGAATACTATTTCTATAGATGAATAGACCACATTTTGTTTACCCATTCTTCTATTAATGGAAATTTAGATTGTTTCCACCTTTTGACATTATTATTATTTCTGAAACAGAGTTTTGCTCTTGTTGCCCCGGCTGGAGTGCAGTGGTGCTATCTGGGCTCACCACAATCTCCGCCTCCCGATAGTTATTTTTAAAATGCCCAGCCAACAATTATTTTTAAAATGCTGCTATGAACATTCATGTAAAAATTTTTGTTTGAGGCCGGGCGTGGTGGCTCATGCCTGTAATCCCAGCACTTTGGGAGGGCGGAGGTGGGCAGATCACGAGGTCAGGAGATCGAGACCATCCTGGCTAACACAGTGAAACCCTGTCTCTACTAAAAATGCAAAAATTAGCCAGAGGTGGTGGCTCATGCCTGTAATCTCAGCTACTCAGGAGGCTGAGGCAGGAGAATCACTTGAACCCAGGAAGCGGAGGTTGCAGTGAACCGAGATCACACCATTGCACTCCAGCTTGGGCAACAAGAGTGAAACTCCGTCTCAAAAAAAAAAAAAAGGTTTTTGTTTGAATATCTATTTTGTAGTTTACAGAGTATAAGTTTTATTTTCTATACAGAAGATCATGTCATCTGCAAAGAGAGATGCTCTTACTTCTGTTCCAATCTTTACTCCAGTGTCTTTTATTTCTTTTACTTTCCCAATTGCCAGTACAATGTTAAACAGAGTGGGGATCTTTGTCTGGTCCCTGATCTTAGGGGAAAACATCCAGTCTTTTACCATTAACTATGATGTTGGCTGTGGGTTTTTCCTAAATATCAGGGTGAGGAAATTCCTCTTTATTCCTAGTTTGTAGAGTGTGTGTGTTTTTAAAAATCATAAAAGGGTATTGGCTTTTGTCAAATGCCTTATCTCTATTGAGATGATTGTGTGATTTTTGTTTTTTATTCTATTGATGTGATGCATCACATTAACTGACTTTTGATGGTAAGCCAACCTTGCATTCCTGGGATAAATCCCACTCATTCATGTTATATAATTCATTTTAGATGTTACTGGATTTGGTTTGCTAGTACTTTGTTGAGGATTTTTACACCCATATTCTTTTTTTTTTTTTTTTTTTTTGAGACGGAGTCTCGCTCTGTCGCCCAGGCTGGAGTGTAGTGGCCAGATCTCAGCTCACTGCAAGCTCCGCCTCCCGGGTTCACGCCATTCTCCTGCCTCAGCCTCCCAAGTAGCTGGGACTACAGGCGCTCGCCACCTCGCCCGGCTAGTTTTTTGTATTTTTTAGTAGAGACGGGGTTTCACCATGTTAGCCAGGATGGTCTCGATCTCCTGACCTCGTGATCCGCCCGTCTCAGCCTCCCAAAGTGCTGGGATTACAGGCTTGAGCCACCACGCCCAGCCTACACCCATATTCTTATGAGATATACTTTGTCTGGTTTCAGTATCTGGGTAATACTGGCCTCATAAAATGAGCTGGGGACTTGGCTGTATTCCTTAATTATAGCAGAAGACACTGGGTAAACTTAGAGCTGGTAATAGGAGTCTTCCTGAACCAGTTAAGCTTCTGAATGGCAAAGAAGGCCTGGCTATTCAAAGGGAGCCAAATTTTTAAAAAATTGTCTTCTTCTGGGGTAACAGAGGAAGAAACTCTTGAGCAGAAAAACCTTAAAATCTACGCTTACCCCATTCACCTTTTACACAGGAAAATACCAGTGACAGCTATTCCAGAAAAATCTATTACATCCTCTCCAAAATATAAATTAGATTTAACATGCCTAAGATAGTAGGCTGAGGTGGGCGGATCATGAGGTCAGGAGATTGAGACCATCCTGGCTAACACGGTGAAACCCTGTCCTTACCAAAAATACAAAAAATTAGCCAGGTGTGGTGGCATGTGCCTGTAGTCCCAGGTACTCGGGAGGCTGAGGCAGGAGAATCACTTGAACCTGGGAGGCAGAGGTTGCCGTGAGCCAAGATTGCGCCACTGCACTCCAGCCTGGCAACAAAGCAAGACTCCGTCTCAAAATAAATAAATAAATAAATAAATAAATAAATAAATAAATAAAAACCCACAAAAAACAAAGTTTTAAAAGTGTGTCAAAATTCTCCATGTACAAAAAAACTCACTAAAATTCAGAGAAGATGAAAATTATCACCCAACATTGCAGTCTGATTTTTTAAAAAGTATGATGCAATTGCAGCTCTAAAACAAGACCACAAGCAAAAATATGTGATCTCAGGAAAGAGGAGAAAGTATAGATAGACCATAGATGGGAGTTAGTAGAATTCAAGACTGAAAGAGAAAATAGGCTAAATCACATCAGAAATGAAGAATAAACTAGCTAGGTGCAGCAGCATGTGCCTGTAGTCCCAGCTACTTGGGAGACTGAGTCTGGAGGATTGCTTGGGTCCAGGAGTTCAAGGTTGAGGCCAGCCTGGGCAACACAGTGAGATCCCATCTCCAATCAATAAATAAATCAACTACAAGGTGCATAAGATCTGACAAATGCCACAGAAACTATAGTATGGAACAAAGAATACAGAAATTAATGAACAGAACAAAATTTAACAAAGAAAGGGATGAAAATCATTTGAAGAAGAAATGAAAAGAGAGATCCAATATGCAAAAGGCAGAGCACCTAAAGATGAAATCCAAATTAAAAGGATATATCTAAAACTATGGTTTTAGCTGCATATCATATATATATATATATATATAAAAACTACAGTTTTAATACTCAAGATGAATTTCATAAAATAAAGTGTAAATATAAATCATGAAAAGTGAAGCCATATTACAGGTGAAAATGACCCAAAATAGTACCAAAACATTACCTAATAAAATTATTTGACTAAAACTCATGGGGAATCAAGATAAAAATATCAAGTCACCTATAAGAAAAAGGAAATTCAGTTGTCATCAGACTTCTCCAGTGCTAAATTCAGTACCCCAAACAGTGGGGTAAATCTTCCAGTATATTTGTGAAAAAAACAAATGAGGGAGTCAAAACATTTTTATATCCAGCCAAGCTGTCATTCGAGTACAAAGGATATAAGGAGTTTCATGATGCAACTTAGGAAATACTGTTGATAGGCGCTCTTTGAGAAGAAACTACTAGAAGACATATTCCAGCCACAAAAGAGACAATAGCGAAAGTTTCAGTAAAAGAATAGTAGTGATGCCGAACATATTTAAATGCAAATCTAAATAAAATAGTAAGAGTGGAATTATGGTAGCCAGCATCCTGGATGGCCCCAAAGGTTCCCAGTATGTGGTATTCACAACACTGTGTATCTGCCTCCTATACTGAATAGGATTAACTTGTATACCAATAAGGTACTGTGGAAATGATAGAGTATGAGATAGATCATAAAAGACACTGTGGCTTCCACCTTATGCTCTGGAGAAAGCCAGTGGACATGTCATAGGGACACTTAAGAAGCCCCATGGAGAGGTCTAGATGGTGAGAAACTGAGGTCTATTGCCAATAGCCACATGAGAGCCATGTTGGAAGGTGATCCTCTAGTCCTAGTTATGCCTTCAAATGATAGCAGCCCTGGCCAAGAGTGTGACTGCAACCTCAAGAGACCCCCGAGGCAGAACTTCCCA